TTACTAAATTAAGAAAAATTTTACCAAATGTCGGCTTCCCAAATAATTACGTCATGATAATGCCAAAAAACAATAGTTACGTCATCAAAGTAGAAAAAATATTCACAAAAAGTGTCTCGAAATACTTGTTGCTTTCATCGTATTGCAGTTTTTGCTAATGATAAGGCTTTATTTCTTAGGCTTGGCAGTTCTGTTCATCACTTTCAAACCTTTCAGATTTTACCAAAATTTTACCAAAAGAAACTCATTACCAAATTTTCTTGAAAATTCACGAAATTTTACCAAAAGTAAAACTTTTTACCAAATCTGGTCACACTGCCGCAAAGGGCAAAGGCTTTAATAAATTAATGGATGGAACCAACCAACACGGTTAGCACTATTTTCCATCCGGCAAACTGACCTGACGTCATTTTCGGAAGATGGAAGAGGTGTTAAATGGCCATGTAAACTAACCCAAACCCTATCCCTACTCTAACCCCTAACCGCAACTCTAACCCTAACCGAATTAGTAAAAATATCCAGAAAGGAACGACCCTAGAAAATCGATAGGGCGGTTTGCCGGATGGAAAATAGTGCTAAGGAGAACACGAGCGGAGCAGCGGTGCCAACAATGGTCAATGGACCATTCCCCAATTAACCAAAATTTTGATCTCAACAAGTCTAGACAAAATTCCATCATAGCTTGAAAGAGCATCACAAAATTAGTAATATTCCAAAGTTTCGTTGCGAAATGTTGTAAAATGCGGATAATATAGCCTTGCGAAATTTGCAATTTTCAGTCATTTTAGATTACAAACGGGAAATGGTTACCACTTTTCCAAAATTTTGATCTTAACTAGTAGCCTAAACAAAAATTTCATCACAGCTTGAAAGAGCATCGCAAAAAAAAATGCGGATAATATAGCCTTTTAGTTAAAGTTTGTAATTTTCAGTCATTTTGTATTACGCATAGAAGTGGTAACCGTTTCCCGTTTGTAATCTAAAATGAATGAAAATTGCAAACTTCGCAAGGCTATATTATCCGCATTTTACAACATTTTGCAACGAAATTTGGAATATTACTAATTTTGTTATGCTTTTTCAAGCTGTGATGAAATTTTTGTCTAGACTTGTTGAGTTCAAAATTTTGGTTAATTGGGGAATGGTCCATTGCCAACTGTAATTTTGTAAAAATCCGAAGTAACTAAGTAAGCTCCCAAAATATCCCGAGATTCCCTAAAAACCCCGATATTTACGTCATTATAATTTAGGTGGTTTTCGCGCCAATTCAGGTGGGATAGCATCGAGTCATGTTGTAAAAACGAAATCTGACATCAAATATGCAGCTCAATAGGGTTTAAATACGAGCGGACGAACCCTAGCCTGCGCGCAGACTATATAATTTCTTGTTTATCCGCCACACATCTATAAATACAACTGTAATAAACATTGTCATTTGACCCTGGAAACGGTCAATGTTGAACAGCCCAACGCGCGTTGCGAACGCAATATCCGATGAATTAACATTAATTCGGCATAATTATAGTTCAACCAATCACAATTCGTCCCAACTTTTCTCGGGAAATCCACGTGACCATACAAGCTTCATGCCACGGATTCGCAGACTATATATGTCATTATATAGTCTGCGCGCAGGCTAACGAACCCTGGATTTTTAACAAAATTGTTTATTAGTCAATTTCACCAAAAAATCCATGGACATTGGACATAGTACAGACATAAGGTTCATTTCCACTCAAGAGAATTTCCACGGACAGAACATTTGCCGAAAGAAAATTTTCAACTTCAAAATTTTGCGGACGGAAAATTTGTGTCGGCCAAATCACATTTTTACAAATTTTTCTTTCCACCAAAAATGGCCTATAAAGGACATAGGTACACATATACATCCCAACAAAGTAAAATATATGAAAACAACCAATTAACCTCAACTGACAAATTCGACCATCTTCCCCGCGCACTAGCATTTTGCCTTAATTTCCCAATGACAACGTATGTAAATTGTGTAATGTAAATGTGTCATTGTGGTTTCTTGACTAGACCATAAATATTATAGTACGAACAGTTTTTGGGTCAGACTGAATGAACAAAGAATGAACTAGAGAGCTAGCGGAACGAATCAGATTGACATAGACCGAGAAATTGTAATGTATCTACATGTATATGTGAAATAAAACTTGTAAAAACGAAATGTGTGTCTGTCGAATAAGAAATAAATCTATGCGGGTCAATTCGTTGAAGGCAGACAGCGCCGAATTCTGCGACAAAGATCGGTTCGGAGTTCGCTTTGGTTTAAAGATTAGTGTTAGGGTTATGGTTTAGGTTAAGGTTTATGGACAAGGTTTAAGGTTGTAATTATAAGTACCTGCATGATTGTTGACTCTTTTGCGTTTTAACGATCTTAAAAAAGAGCCGCCATCTTGAAAACCTCCCTCAGTCCCTCTCATCCATCCCCTTTATCAACGACCCTAACTAAAACGCTAATACTCTTTTATTATACTAATAACTATATACTACTCTTTTGCTGTCGAGCGCAGCGAGGCAGCACGATATTCTTGACACTGTTTGCGTCTATCTATTTGTTACGAATATCTGATTGTACGTGTTGGTCTGTCCAGATATTTTGCACTAATTACAATTAGTAAACGCACTAAACGGATGCTCCTTCGCAATAAACTGAAAAATAGAAAGCGTGTTGTGTTTTTGAGTTGAGGCAACACCATATTACCATCGTTGCGATAGTAATTCCTAATATCCTAATAAACCATGTGAAAATCAAGTTTAATGTATATGCAATTCTTGGTTATACCATCTACTATCCGCATTGAAACAATACAACAATATTTAAAAAGTTGTAATAGTGTATTCAAATCATATAATTACAGAATAATTTAATATTTAGCATTATGAATTATAACAATTATTCAACGAAAAAACTCAAGATAGTTTACATACTGGATTATATACATTTAGTGCATGAAACTTTGCATATATTGGTTGTAAAAGGTAGTAATGTAATTGAAATTTGTTGTAGTAATTTGTAGTAACAATAATTAAACAAACGTCAATCTTGTCTGCCCATTTTTTGCTCCAGGAACAATTTCGAACGTCAGTTTCGTTTTCTTCTTCTGTGGATTTTCATACATTGAGTGGTATAAGAACTCTTGAAATTAGAAAACACAATAACCAACAGGAATCACAATTCTTTTGTTTTAAAAAATTGATTATACATAGTATGAAACATTGTTTGTCATATATGCATGTAGCTACATGTGTACCAAAAGACATGAAAGCATGCATGGTATCCTCACATATATACAGTAGCGTAGCCAGCCCGACGATTTAGTCCCGTTATGCAAATATTTTCGTGTTCATTGACTGTGAAAACAATCAATTTCTAAAGAAATTTCGTAAAAAAATGGCTAAAAATTCTCAAAATCGATTTGCGGAAATTTTGGAAGCAGAAATAAATAAAACTTTTTCAATACTGAAATTATACTAAAACAATTAGTCGCCTCAGGCTCGGTAATTACAGGTCAATTGCATGTTCTCCTCCAATCTGTGTCAGAATAAACCTTTTTAGCACTTGGCTGTTCTTACCTGTTCTAAACTGCTTCGGATATTGATAATTCGGCAAATCCTAAATATTTGAAGGATGAAATAAACAAAAAGTTACTAATCATTTCAAATTTGGAACCTTCATACTCCACTAGTTTCATTAAGACAACTGAAGCTACAATCATTGCAATAGCTGCTTTGCGGGATCCAACACGGCAATCAATATACGGATCCTAAAGAAATGCTATTTTGAAACAATATTCTCTTCTAAAAATATTGGACATATATGTCACTGTCACAGAGACCATCATGTTATATTTGTTGACTTCGACTATCATTCTGTAAAACTGTAGCATGACACCCTAGGGCATTATACTCATTATCATTTCTCATCTTTCTATATATTAAGTGAATGGCATCGTATATATCCAATTTTTCTTTAAAACGTAAAAATTCCACTGCATGGCAATATGTACTAGTTAAAAAATGAGCAGCCGATCTTTATACGTCCCGTTAAAAAAATGACCCATCTTATGAGTTCATTGGCGAAGTAATTTTAAAAATAAACATTGTCTAAGCCGAGAAAATCAAAGCTGAAGTTTATGTGAATCAGGACAAATCTTTATCTGGTTTACAAACATTGATTAACCATTCATTTCTTTTGAATTTTCTTCATGAATTATTAATGAGTTTTTTATATTACGAGTAGTAAATGCACTAGCCATTACTTACTGTGTCTGCATGGCGTGGACCGTGGATTTGGGAAGCAGGAGGTTGAGATAGATATGACGCAGATTTCAGTCTCAAGTCAGGTACTGGTATGTTCCGTGGTTTAGGTTGCACCACACCCACAACATCAGCCATTTCATAACCTCGTTTCAAATTCTTTGGAGGCCTAAATATAATACCCCTAAAGTACTTAGACGAATCCGGTGAGAATTTTTATAAATAAGATAAATGTCTTGTATTTGGTAAAAGTCATTTTCTCAAAATGCAATACTAAAAGTAATATAAAACTGTAAAGGAGGGCGAAGGTTTCGGGTATTTGACAAGGCCAGAGCGTTGACTCAAGGCTTGCCTGGACAAAGGTTCAAATTTCTTCAATGTATCAGTATAGGAACCATATATGCATGCAGTGACGGTAACTGCATGTTTGCTAAATGGATCAAGCACAATGAGAGGTATTGAATTTTGATGTTCGATTTACCAAACTGTCAAACCAAATTATGCAAATCTATACTACATAATATCTGGGTAAAAGTATATCGAAAATTTGGGTTATCTCGTTCGCGATAGAAGTAATACTGTTAGACGAGTTTTTTCAATATGGAGTATAAGTACACAATGCATGTGTATAAATTTGCTTCGAATATTCCGTATACAAAAAAAACTATCATCTACTCTGCTACATATGGTGGAGAGAGGTTAAAAATCTTTCTGGTATGGCTGACAGAAATAACCAATGGTTTGAGCACCTCATTGATGGTGAAACTGTAGATTCTGTTAATACGTTATGCGAAAGAATCAATCATTTCTTTGTAAATCTCACAAAAGATTTTACGCCTCTCTCACAGGACGATGTTTCTAACTATTCTGCTGGTGATTCTGGTATTGCGGATGATCTCTTGGCTTCAACTGGCGAAGTTTATAAATCCCTTTGTTCTTTAAAGACAGGGAAAGCCCCGGGACCGGATGGAATCCCGAATGTAATTCTAAAAACGTTTGCCTTTGAGTTAGCGCCAGTAATCGCTGATATTTATAACTCATCCTTACGTAGCCTGCATGGCAGGCGGTTCCTAAAATTGGCCAAGCCTGGGAAATACCTTACGTGATGCATATTTGCCTCCTCTATTAAAGACAGCAACTGTTACACCTCTTCCCAAACAATCTCCACCGGGCTCCATTGAAAATGGTATCAGACCCATCTCACTCACTTGCGAAATTGCTAAAGTGATGGAAGGTCTCACCTTAGCGAGAATCATGCCATCCATTATAAGTCACTGAATAACAAACAATTTGCTATGGCTGGAAAATTTCTGTCGTTTTCGCCAACCTTCCTCAAAATCTTAGCGACGATCTTGAAAGGGTCCAGAAACGAGCACTGGCCATAATATACCCTAACTGTTCCTATGATGATGCCCTAAAACTAGCTGGTATCGAACCGCTTGTCTTACGGAGGGACGCCGCCTGTAAGAGATTTGTGGAGACAATCCTACCTGGAAACCCACTCTATCCAATTGTTCATAGCCGGTCAGCACCAGTGAACCATGGTTATAAACTTAGATCTGACAATGTTGCGAGGAATATCAGGATGCGAACAGACCGGTTTCAGAAATTCGTCACCATTAAGTATGCGACCTGAACTGTGATCGTTGAACCTAATAACTCTATTGTCTAGTTATACATTCATTTTTAACTATAATAAATTATGTACACCTCTCAGATATTTTTGTATAGGTTTTATATACTGTAAATAATATTTGTAAATAAGATTTTTGTAATGACTTGTAATTCAGTTTCTACTGCAAGGGGTTTTTTAATAAACTATTACTATATATAGACTCCTTTTGGTTATCTATTTCCAGCCTAGAATATATAGTGAAAACCGTTCGTGTTAAAATTCTTTTCAATTCAAATTTAAAAAGACTCAATCCTTATTCTGAAATTTTTTACCTTAATAAGAGTTTCGACTTCTCTCTATGTGCACCATTCAGCATTGTGTTACGGTATTTGTCGACTGTCACAGAGATATCTCCAGCAATGTCTTCAAAAGTACTGCGAACAGGTGAACGTACTCGACGCTGTTTTTCACGACGAACAGGTGAACGTACTCGACGTTGTTTTTCACGATGGTATAACTCTTCGTAGTTGGATGAATCATCAAGATGAATCTATATGTTGCCATTGTGTTTAATGGAATTTTTAATAAAAAAAATATGAAGTGTAGAAAATATGGATATGCATGCACCATTGAAGAAGAGGAACGGGGTTGTGCGTGCAAAGTCCAGTTTTACCTTTTTGTTATAGTTAGGTTTTTTGAAAAGGTGGATTGAGTGTGCCAATGAATTTTGGCCTCGATTGTAGTTTGGCTCTCTTTTTTACTTAATTTTAACTGCAAACTGCCTTCTTTTTTTGAAACACCCATATTTGAGCCAAAATTAGAACTGTTGTATCAATACTGTGTAGAATGATGAGTGGAATGATGGCAGTCGCACACATACTAAAAGAGCTTTACAAAATGCAACAAAGTGTAATCGAGTAATCACGGGATCTAACTTTCTCAAATTCATTAATAATTCATGAGCAATTCAGCCAATGATAATCACCAATTTGATCACAAGATGCCATTTGGATAACCCGGTGAAACTTGATGAAAGTCACTAGTGTTTTCATCAAATATCTTAACTACGCATGCAAAATTACTTGAATAGAATTCCTAATTACGTTATGCTTGGTTAAGAATTCTATTCAAATCAGCAAACGAAAACATTCTGTTACGTCTCGATTCATTTGAGAAGCCATATAAACAACTCGAGCTCGTGTCTCACTGGGATATCCAAACACTCGAAAACAATATATGAAAACACTCGCGCTTCGCGCTCGTGTTTTCATACATTGTTTTCTCGTGTTAGGATATCCCGGTGAAACACTCGCTCTCGTTGTTCATATATTACATACGAAATAAGATCTAAGAGGAAACCATTGACCGCTTAGCTTGGGAACCAATTGCGGGAAAAATTCTAATGAAACGTGAAATCGTGATGACATTTAACAACCTATACAAGGCGAGCCAGAATACATAACTGAGATGTTTAAACTTAACCGCGATGACATGTATCAGCCTACTTTATAAGGAGTAACAGTG